CCCCAGCTCTGAGGCAATAGCTTATCGGGCCAAGAGAAATAAAGATGCCAAAGGGTCGAGGACCGGGATCCAGGCTGGGTTCTGTTGATGGGGAGCTGAGGCTTCACCTTCATCATTTGTCCCCCCTTCCCCTTTATTTTCCTCCGGCCCCCAGCTGATTCCGCGCCGCTTAGATTGGGAGGGGAAAGAGCACCGAAGAAGCTTCGAGGATCTGGTGAGTAAAGTTTTCATTTCAACTTAACCCAACTCTTTCTCCACTCCCTCCCCACCTTGTACCCCCAACCCGCCCCCGACCTCTCAGCCAACTCGGCTCTAGAGCTCAGTGCGGAGCCAAAGAACGACTACCCCTTCCCCCCTCCCTGCCCGTCGGAGAAAGGGTACCTTCCCTCCCCACGGCCTAGCTTGTTTCCACCCGAAAACTTTGGAGAATGTGAGTTGGTTATCAGAGGTGCAGTGTTGTGGATTATGAATATGTTACAAACATCGGGGAAGGCCCATTGTACAGGGAAAAGGGAGAGAAACCAGGGGGTTATCTTGGGGCACGTACCAAGGACTGACGCTGGCCAATGACAGCGTTGGTAACAGCCCGGAGTTCCGGATTAGTGGAAGAAAACTGGTTTCTGGTTGGTCCTGGCCTGAAATACGGGAACTGAGGCCAGGCTTGGTCTTTTTTTTTTTTTTTTTTCGGTGCGGGGTGGAGGGGGGGCGGGTAGAGAAGGGGCTCTGGAGGGGAGTTGACGGACCTGGAACTGGGAAAAACCACATAATTAAAAATAATAAGGACCATCGAGCCAATTCCAAAATTTGCCAGTTTTACATAATGGACTACCGAATAAAAGCATAATGGTTATATTTCAGATTTTAGAAAATATCTCATCATGTCATCAGTACATCTCACTTGTGTGTATGCATTATCACTAAATAAAAACTATGAATAATGACCTTTTTCAGAATTGGTGAATCACAATTTTGGATTTACAAGGAGACAACAATGGACATATTTTAGAATAGAACATACTTTAGTAAAGGACCAAAGGCATTGCGTTGGCTGTGTTGTTTCTCCTGCAAATATAATTCATAGTATAAATGCACCTTCTGTTCAGCATTGACACACAAAAAAGGTAATCCTTTTTATTTTGAGGGGGACAGATTCCCTTGTGTTAGCCACTGCCACGGTGCACTGGAGGGTAATGAAAGGAGAAAGGGATGTTACTAAAATAAGAATTTAGCTACCTTTCCTTCAAATAAGATCCAAGTGGAGGAAAATCAGACAAAGTTAAAGTTGGAGCAGTATGGTAGACTCTAAATATAAATAAAATGATTTAAAATTTGCTTATAATAACACTATATTTAAATTGCTTTAGTGTTCATTTTGATATTCTTCTTTTTATCATATTAAAACAGCAATGCCACACTAATTATTACCAAATCTACTGACTAAATTTTTTTCTTATATTTTGTAAATCACAGAAGATAGTACAATAATTGTGATAAAGGTGAATTTGACCATTTGTACTATTAATGGTAACAATTTCTCAGGTGGATAAAAATTATTTTTGAAAAACTGCATGTATTAATAGGTCATTTAATTTATAGTCAGACTTTTTTTTGGACTTAAGTCCTTCCCTCCCCTCCAAAAAAGGCAAAAACAGTGTCTACTAATATATGTTTTAACACTTAATGAATGACTGATAGGATTCTGTAGATATAGTTTGATACTGAGGTGTGTTGAAATGTTTTCTGTTACATTGTTCCTTTCACAGCCTATATGCATCTGCAAGGAGGACCATTTTTGAGCAAGTAGGAAAAGGAGACTTAAAGGAATAAGCTTTTCTGAAACTAACTTGACAGTGATAAACAATACATGAATATTATAGTAATTAAAAGAGAGTCTCCTCACCACAAAAAAAACCAAAACTTCAGTTTAATGGACTTTTTACCTCCCCTTATTTTGTGAAGGCATATTTTTACATAATTGTGATGAGTGTCTATTTTGTGCTTTATGTTTTTCTTAACACTTTTACATATACTTAACCTGTGTATTTGAATAGTCATCATTTTTTTAATGGTAAGAAAAAATTCAGTTGTATTTAAGATGTTTTGATTGAAAAGAACTTCCAGTTTTTCACTAATATCTTTGCATAGTTAGGTTTTCTTTTTCTGCTTTCTTACACTCCCCCTCCTCCCCTGTTATTTTCCCAGACTTTATTCCCTAAAGTGGAGTTATCAGGTCAAAGGGGCTCATGAGTTTTATAGCTCTTGTCATATATTGTAAGATTGCTTTCCAGAAGATTGTACTAATTTATAATGTCACTATCTAGGTACTTAGAATGAGTTTTTTTTTATATGTGTAAATCTTTTGATGACTTTAATAGGTGAGAATAGCTCCTAGTTAAGTAGCTTTTTTTGTTATTAGTGAGGCTTAACCTTTTAGCAGTTTTTTAAAATTGTTAATCCATTTATATATCCTTACATGTATTTGATTTTAACCATTTATCTTTTTAATTGATTGTTTTCTGTTTTATATTTTCTTAGACATTCTTTTATGTACAAAGATAATTTCTTCTATTGTGTGAATATTATCTGTAGATAAGTAGTGTGCCTTTTTCGTTTTTCATTTACTTTTTATATTTTCCATACTAGAAAAGGAAACTCCTTTTATTTTCCATACTGGGATCCCGATTTTCTAGGGATAATACTTTTTGACACCCTGGTCTTTGAAGTCCAATGTCTGTTTTCTGCCTATGGATTTCTTTGTAAGGGAAGATGGAGCAGGGTTGAGTGAGAATTTGAACAGACTGTAGTAGTTGAGAACTGAGTGTGTAGTATTAGATTGATTGCTAGACTCATCAATTGTATTGTTGGTTAAAATTATTTCACATCTGATCTCTGATTTTGGGTGGCTTCATTGTGGAAGAGATGGGATGTTTTTTTCTTGGGGTAGGTACTTTTTAAAGTATTATTAGAAAACTTGATTTATACAGTAGTATAAATGGTCTTTAACTTAGGTACATATTTTGAGTTGAAATTTAGTATTAATAAAGTATTAGTAAAGTATTAATAAATAGTATAATCTTGATTTATCTGACTTATTAAATTGTATAGCAATACTTCAAACTTAAGGTATACTGGGTATGAAAAGGAAAGAATACAAATGTATAACAAAGTACAGGACTATAAACAAGGATATCAGCGTACTGAATTGGGTTGCATAGCTACATATATTGCATATTTGAAACAAAAATCCTGCCTTTCTGTTTGTACGTTTACTTTCGTTTGAATTGATTGTCTGTTATGCTTAACTTGATTCATCTAGAAGAATATTAAGGTAACGATAAATTGGATTTCTTCAACACATTATTACTACTGTTACTATTACAGATTCTAAAAATCTCCCCTTTTTTTCTGAAATGGACATCTGATTTAGGTTTTACTTGTAATTTGGAACACAAGGGAAGGTGCTTGTTTGTTAAAGCTAGTGGCAGGCAATTATTGACATCTCCAAATGTGAAGTGTCTTTAAACAAAATGAGTCTGTACATGAAATTTGTTTCTCAGTTTATGTTGAACTATAAGGTTTTTTTTAATATGGCATTCAAAATAAAACATTCTGGATTAATTTTTCAGAATTTTAACTAATGATAGAGGGAGACTTTTGAAGTTGTGATTGTTTCTGATGTTTGATCTGGGCATTTTTCTTTATTTTCTGCTTCCTAGTTGACTGTTAATTGACAACATAGTAGAATTAAATGTGCTTCTTGCAATTCATCTTAAGGTAGATAATTTAAATAATTAAAGATGTCCTTTCATTTGTGGTGATCCTATTGAATTGTTGGATATTTTATTGCTTGCTCCTTGAATCTTTATTGTGGTCAACACACAGCAATGGATGTGTGTATGTGTGTGTGTGTGTGTGTGTGTGTGTGTTTAAATGAACAGTTTTTGTTACTATATAAATTTTATATATTGCAATGATGATTTGGAAACATTTTTAAAGGCACATTATAAGCTTTTTAAATCACTTTAAGGGGACTTTTTTCATAAGACTGAACCAAAGCCATAAATATCTTTAGGTGTGGTATATCCTTTTACGTTTATTCAACATTTTTCATCCATAGAACTGAAAGCACCGGTTAGTGCTTACATTTGGAATGACATAGATTATATTACATTCATTTTATATACAAAATACTTGAAGTAATTTTATGCTTTTTTAAAAAGACTTCTATGAAGATTATGTCTTTAAAAAGAATACATGCATCTATGATGATACATATTATTACAAGAACTTGCATCTGCATATAACACATTCAGGTTTAAAAGTGTTTTCACATTATCTCATTTCATCCTCACCAACTACTTAAAAACACTGTATTTGAATGCCTGACATACCTGTATTCTTTTCTTACTTTAACTAGCTGTTCTCTAATTACTAGTAATAGCTTAATGCTTTGAGTACTAGTAGGATAGTTACTGCATCTCTAAGTGTGGAATCAGTTGAAACATGTGTGATTTATTAACTGCCATGTGGCCACACAGCCATAGTTAGGAAGAACAGAATGCATCATGGGAAACCAAAAAGCATGTGCTGCTCAACTCCAGTGCAGTGTAGTATGCCTATAATGCTAGCTGATAGGTCTTATGATAGAGAGAAGTCAGTATCCGGAAGCCAGTTTTCTTGACTACTGAACTTGCTTGAGCCGCGTGTACACTCTTGCTCTCTGAAACATGTTGGCTTCAGCTATTTGTCTAGATCCTTGGCCTTTTTTTCCCCCCACACTTGTGGCTCTAGGAACATACTTTCAATGATTAAGATCCTTTTGGATATTTATCATTAATCTTAGGAAAACTGGTATCTCAGTACAAATGAGATGATAGTATGAATGTGAAGAGAGCTGCTGTTAGGGAGTAAGAATTTGGATTTGGTGAATTTGCCTTACAAACTTTTGTTCTGAAAGCATCTTTGTCACATTTGAATATTAGTTTTAGTTTGTTTTGTTTTTGTTTTACTACTGATATTGATTATTTATTGATTAATGAACACTTTCTTTTTCGTTGGGAGCAAAATAGTAATCTAAGGACAATTTAGTGTTTGTGTCATAATTTAGAGATGCTCTTGTTTGACATTTCTTACATGGCATTTTGTGGATAACAGAAATGACCCAAGATTTAGCGTGAAAGATAGCATTTACTAGTTTAGTGACACTAGGCAAAT